AGGAGGAGGAGGGGGAGGAGGGGAGGAGGAGGAGGAGGAGGAGGAGGAGGAGGAGGAGGAGGAGGAGGGGAGGAGGAGGGGGAGGAGGAGGAGCTGGAGGGATGGGGAGGAGGAGGAGGAGGAGGAGGAGGAGGAGGAGGAGGAGGAGGAGGAGGAGGAGGGGGAGGAGGAGGAGGAGGAGGAGGAGGAGGAGGGAGAGGGAGGAGGAGGGAGGGGGGACCAGCTTGGGGAGGAACCAGTGAGCTGGATCGGCGATACGGCGCCAATAGATCGGCGATGGGCAATGGGCACCCAGACCTGCCGAACAGTTGAGGGGCAACGCGGGGCGGGGATCAGCTCAGGGGGGGGGGGGGGGGAAACCAGTGGGCTGGAATCGGCGATGCACTGCCGACAGGTCGGCGATGGCCACCCAGACCTGCCGTATATTTGAGGGGCACCGCGAGGCGGGGACCAGCGCGGGGGGGGAAACCAGTGAGCTGGAATCGGCGATGCATCGCCGATAGATCGGCGATGGGCACCAGACCTGCCGTATGTTTGAGGGGCACCGCGAGGCGGGGACCAGCGCAGGGGGGGGGAAACATTGAGCTGGAATCGGCGATGCAGTGCCGATAGATTGGCGATGGGCACCCACAACTGCCGTATGATTGAGGGGCACCGCGAGGCGGGGACCAGCGCAGGGGGGGAAGCGTTGAGGTGGAAGAGCCGCCGACACCTCGCCGACGGATCGATTACAGGTACCACGGCAGCGAGTCCGCACCTTCCAGGGCGCGGCGGGGTGCCAGGCTCCCACCCGTCGATGAGTGGGCAGTTGGGGGTCGACGCACCTATCTTCTGTCGGCCCTGTCCTCCTACAGGCGGATCTTGAAAGAGAAACATGAAGCAGGGTCAAACCACGATGAAGATATCAACAACAAAGAGAGGAGTGAAACATCGCCCCGAGACTATTTTCTCTTCTGCTATTTCGGGATGTTCCCCCTGTATTAGAGGGACATGCCCGACTTAACCTGTGAGCATCGTTTAACCGACCCCCATCCCCAGCGGCGCGGCCTGGGCCCCGCTGGCCGATCTACCCCCCCTAGATGGGGATATATGAAAGGGGCCCCAGGACACACACATATAGTCCCATATTTTTGCATATTTTCCTGAAGATCTGCGATTAGTTGTGTCTGTGTGTTTCTTCCCCTCCTGAATACAGGCCGTTCCCTTCGGGTGTTTCGATGAGGATGGGGATCGGTCAAACGATACCGTGAAGTCGGCCCTGTCCCCCTACAGGGGGATTCTCGACGAAGAATAAAACATACCCCAAAAATACCTCAAAAAGGTCAAACAATAATCCAAAAATAGTCCCCATACTATTTTTGGACTATTTTTTGATTATTCCCTACCTAGGCTCTGCCTAGAAGGGCTCTTACTCTCTAGCTTAAAGGGGCCGGGCAGTGGAAAGCGCCCCGGGCGGTTCACCCAGTCCCCGCCCCGCGGTTCCCCCAGTCCCCTGGGAGCCTTAGCTTTAGCTGTAGCTGTAGCTTTAGCTTAGCTTTAGCTTAACTCTAGCTTAGCTTTAGCTTAGCTTTAGCTTAGCTTTAACTTAGCTTTAACTTAGCTTTAGCTTAGCTTTAGCTTAGCTTTAGTTTAGCGTTGGCTTAGCTTTAGCTTAGCTTCAGCTTAGCGTTAGCTTAGCGTTATCTTAGCTTTAGCTTAGCTTTAGCTTAGCTTTAGCTTAGTTTTAGCTTTAGCTTTAGCTTTAGCTTTCTCTTAGCTTTAGCTTAGCTGTAGCTCAGCTGTAGCTCAGCTTTAGCTTAGCTTTAGCTTAGCTTTAGCTCAGCTTTAGCTTAGCTTTAGCTTAGCTGTAGCTTAGCTGTAGCTTAGCTTTAGCTTAGCTTTACTGTTACTACTAATGCTGCTTTCCTAGGGGCTCCAACTCCTAGGTAGGGTCGCACTGGGATAATTTTTGGTGTATCTTTTATGTTTCGTCGAAAATCCCCCTGTAGGGGGACACGCCCGACTTAACGATACCAAGCCGATCCCCCCCCCTGACATTGCCCGCTGGCTCTCGCGTGACGGCTCGGCGCTCGGGCGGCCGCTCTCGGGGACGACGCTCTCGGGGAGGACCCGGGCACGCCCTCGGCGGGGCGCGGCTGCTGGAGAGCCCCCCCCCCCCCAGGCTGGGAGACGCCGCCGAGAACTCACGCTGGGGCCGGGCACGTGCCCCTACAGGCGGAGTTTGAACGAAACCGAGCATTCGCAACAAATATTCAAATTTGCCATGTTCTGTTGAAAAAACAAAAACATCGTCCCCCGACGATCTCTTATTTTTGAAGAACTCCTCCTGAGAGTGGGACACGCCCGACTCAGCCCTGTCCTTGCCCAGGAGTTTTCCCCTCACCTGCGTGTGGGTGCTGCCAGGAGTGCCCCCCCTGGCCCAAGGTGCCCCCCAGGATCTGCAAGGAGGCCCCCGGGGTCTCCAGCAAACCCCTCCCGAGGCCCAGAGGGCCCCAGCGCTCCCAAACATCGCGCGCAGAGCTGAGGGGCACCTTGGGCCAGGGTCGGCTACACGCAAGGAGTGACCCTGGGTAAGAGTGACCTTTGGTGCGCGGCTTCTTGGGGGCCGCGGGGGGGCCAATAGCAAGTGCGTAAGACGCCACTGCGGGGCACCCGTGGGCCCGCACAGAAAGGTCACTCCTTCGAAAAGGTCACTCTTACGTCTAGTCGACGGGCACCTCGAGCCGCTAATGAAGGGGAACTGGGACACACAAATAACTGGACACAAATAAAACCAGATTCCCCATATGTTCCAATATTTTCTGGGCTTCTGTCCTCCCCCCCACTTCTCATGTTTTCCCATGTCTTATGGGGAATCGGCGATTCATTGTGTCTGTGTGCTCCTTTCCCTCCTCAGGGCCCCCGAGCAGTGCTCTTCTCCCCATGGAGGCCTCCGGGCCGCCCTCGGCGAGCCCAGCGCCCGTGGCGTTGCCGGCGCGCGCGGCGCGGCCCCCGGTGGCGTTCGGGGGCGCGGGGCCGGGGGCGGCGCCCACTCGCGCGGCGTGGTGTGGGAAGAAGGAAAGGCGACACCAACACCAACAGGGCGAGGACTTCCAGGATTTCCGCCATCACGTAGTGATAACAAGGCTTGAAAGCTCAGCTTTTAGGAGACAGGCCGCGAGCAATCCTGTCTAGGTACTCGCGCCTGGCCTTGGAGATTGGAAGCTTGCACGGTTCCCCCAGGCCCCTGAGCTGGGCCTGGCCAGAGTGAACACATGTGCTGCAACCAACAGGGCGAGGAGATGCGAGGAGGCAAGGAGGAGCTCCCTCGTGGTGTGGTCCCCCCCTCTCGCTGGAGACATCCCCAGCCTCCAGCTCGGAGAGGCATCGTGGACCATGGACCTCCTCGTTGGCGGTGGGCCCCCTGGTGGTGTTGGTGTCGCTTCTCCTTCCTCCGATGGTGCTGGCGGGACGAGGAGGCCGCCCGCAGCAGCAGGAAGTGCGTCAGGACATGCGCCGGGTGCCGTCGGAGGTGCCCCATGGTCCAGTAGGAGTGCCCCAACCGTACACCAACAGCGATCCTGGCCAGGATCACCCCGGGCCCAGGATCGGTGCATACGCCCTCCTGCCTTGGGCAAGAAGGCATGTGCACCGATTCTCGGCCCAGGGTGATCCTGGCCAGGATCGGTGTTGGTGTCTGGTTGGGGCCCTCCGGTCCAGAGCCAGACGGGGGCTCGCGCCGCGGCAGGAGCCCCGGCGCAACAGCTGATTGCCCGCTCTCGGCCTTCTGGGGCGCCCGCCAGGCCCCAGGACCATGAGACATGAATCCGGGACGAAGAAGCGGTTCCCCTGGGAAAGGTTCTGGCCTCCCCCCCAAGCGTGCTCGCGGGGAGCAGAACTGGCGACGTTCCTTTCTTGTCCTTCTCGGCCTCCCGGGGATCTCGTCGGGCCCCGGCGCCGCCTCGCGAGAGTGCCTCGAGAGGAGGAGTCGGCCCATGGGGGGAGGGTCGGGCCTTCCGGGGGCCCCGCGTTGAACGAATCGAGGCCTCGGATGTCTGGTAGGTATCCCAGCTGCTCTCGAGCCATCTTGTTCTCAGCTCCAGGAGCCCTCTGGGCCTCGTGAGCGTTGCTGCTGGAGGCAACCTGCTGCGGCAGCTCTGGATCCAAACAAAGCGTCACCTCTC